GTGGCCCAGGGAGGAACCATGGAGCAGGGAAGGCCAAGGAACAACTTTGGACAAGTTTGGGCTCTCTCTCTGGTTTGTGTTGTTTCACAAACACTGGTTTGTGTCCAGTGCCTAAAGGGGGCTGGAAATAAACAGAATTTTAGCAAGGCCTGGAGGGACAGGACACAGGGAATGGCTCCCACTGCCAGAGGGCAGGGCTGGGTGGGAGATTGGGCAGGGATTGCTCCCTCTGAGGGAACTTCTTCCAGATATTTGGGTCCATTTGCATATTGGGGGTTAATCTCCCAATTACAGCTTCAGGTAATGAAGTCGTTTACCCCAAATTTGCTCTCCCCAGCTCACTTTGGTTTCCATTTCTGGGCCCTGAGGCAGTGAGGTGTCCTTGATTGCCAAGCCTGGAGAGGAATTGTTGTGTCTGACCAAAATGGAAAAGCAGCAGCTCACACTGTGTGTGGAGTTTGGAGTTATACACTAAAGAACTGAAGGGCTACAAATAGATGAAAATTATAAAAGCCAACATCCTAAGATGAGGTTTATATGTCTTTAATTTCTTTAATTAAAAGCTTTATATGTCTATGTCTTTAATTTTTTGAATAGCTCATTTGCAGACCCTAACCCTCCAATTTTTAGGCACTTTCCAAATAGCACACAGGCAAAATTGAACGAAAATCCTCCAGATTTAATGAGAAACCCGGAGACAGGACAAACTGCAGGACCATTTTCACTCATCCCACACGGAGCAGTCTGGCACAGCAGTTTTGCTGAGCTCCCCCTGCTCAGCAGCTGCTTCTCCAGGGGCTTGCCCAGGCATCCTGCTGCAGAAAATGCCTCCAAGCTGCTGAATTCCCCTCTCGTGTCTCCTCCTGCTCCTCCCTCTCCCAGCTTTGCTCTCTCTTCCCCTCCAGCTGCTCCAGCACAGCTGGGCCCCCTCCCATCCCCTCCCCTCCTTTCACCCCTTTGATGTCCTATATTGAGTTTCCCTTTTGCACATTCCCATTCCTCCATCCAAGGTGCTTTCCCAGCTCTGGCACAGGGATCAGGAGCTGGGTGGTGCCTCCAGGAGGGAGCTGGAGCAGCTCAGGCACCTCTGCCAGGCTCCTGGGATGCTCAGTGAAGGCAGCAAACGCCACAAACCACACCAGGGGTTGAGAAAATCCAGTGATAGCAGGCAGAGAATGCTCTGCTGGAGCCACATCCTGCTCCCAGGCACTTCATCTGGATATTTGGGTGAAAATATAGGAAAATACAGAAATGTCAGCTGTGGCTTGAAGATCCTTCTCACCAGGGGTTGAGAAAACCCCATGGCAGAAGGCAGGGAATGCTCTGCTGGAGCCACATCCTGCTCCAGGCACTTCATATTCATGTAACCCAAATATCACTGGATATTTGGGTGAAAATATAGGAAAATACAGGAAATTTCAGCTGTGGCTTCTCCTTCATCCTCAAGCCACACCAGGGGCTGAGAAAATCCAGTGGCAGCAGGCAGAGAATGCTCTGTTGGAGCCACATCCTGCTCCCAGGCACTTCATCTGGATATTTGGGTGAAAATATAGGAAAACACAGAAATTTCAGATGTCATTTGAAGATCCTTCTCCTTCATCCTCAAGCCACACCAGGGGTTCAGAAAATCCAGCCTGGCTTCCTCCTCCCGGGGCATCCTCCTGGTTTTCTGCATCCTTTCTTATGGAAATAAATCACACAGATTCTGTTTTCTTCTTGGTGGAAAAAAAAAAAATCCCATTCTTTATTCACAAAAGAATAAATTCCTTATTCTCCCGTTTATACCATTTTACAGATCTCCTGTGTGACTCCAATTGGTCAGTAGCTTTCTTGCTAATTTATTGATTAGGAACAAGTTGTTATTTTGTATTGATTGGTCACTCTAACCTGGTATGTACCTGCAGGAAAAGTTGTTTGTGAGAGCAGGCTTGATTTTATGAAGATTTTATGAAGCCTTTATGATTTTTCTACTGATTCCAGGAGAGCAGGCTTGATTTAATTATGATTTTATGAAGCCTCTATGATTTTTCTACTGATTCCAGGAGAGCAGGCTTGCTTTGATGAACATTTTATGATATTTCTACTGATTTGAGGAGAAGTGGTTTAATTTTATGAAGGATTTAGGAAGCCTTTATGATGTTTCTACTGATTCCAGGAGAGCGGGTTTGATTTTATGAACATTTCATTAATTCCAGGAGAGCAGACTTGATTTTATGAAGATTTTAGGAAGCCTTTATTATTTTTCTCCTGATTCCAGGAGAGCAGGTTTAGTTTTTATGACAATTTTTATGAAGTCTTTATGATATTTCTACTGATTCCAGGAGAACAGGTTTGATATGATGAACATTTTATGATATTTTTACTGATGTCAGGAGAACAGGTTTGATTTT